GAGGTGGAGGTGGTGGAGGTGGTGGTGGTGGTGGTAGTGGTGGGCGTGGTGGTGGTGGATGGGTGCCACTGAGTCAGATCTGACCCATGGTGACCCAGCGCACAACAGAACAAAACACTGCCTGGTCCTGCACATCCTCACAATTGTTCCTATGCGTGACACAGTTCCTGCCACTGTGTCAATCTATCTCATGAAGAACCTTCCTCTTTTCCACTGCCCTCTACTTTACCACCATGATGTCCATCTCCAGGGACATACCCAAAATACGTGAGACAATGTCTCACCACCCTTGTCTCTAAGGAGCACTCTGGCTATACAACTTGCTCTCCAAACATTTAAAAAAAATTTTTTTTAATAAATTGGTTTATTGGGGGTCCTTACATATATTACAACAATCCACACATCCATTATATCAAGCGCACATGTACAGTTTTTGGCGTCAACCATTTCCAAAGTGTTTAAATGACATATATATGCTGTACCAGACAGACACTGTTATACGCAGAGGTATGAGCACTAGATGCATTAGTAACTCGCTAACAATTCATTTCACAGATGAGAAAACAGAGGGTGAGAGAGGGTTATTAAGTCCTCCAGGTCCCCCGCAGCCAGGAAGTGATGGAGCCAGGATTCAAATCCCAGGCAGCTGGACCCAAGCTCTTACCCACGACTCTCCCGGCCTTCCAGATAGGTCCACTGTGTATGTGCGAACACTTGCAAAACTCGCTCGGCTTCTAGGTGGGTTGATATCTCCTGGTCTCAGACACCTCGCTGCCCCCCCCCCCCCCAAGTTCTCCCCTGAAGAAGCTCTTGCCTGTGGATGAAACACTGTTTCCATAAGGACACCGTCTGCTGCCACGGAGCTGAAGCTAACTCATGCCCACCCCGGGTGTGCCCAAGCAGAACTGTGGTTTCCAATGGTGGATGTCAGGAACAGCCAAGGGTGTGAACAGAGTGCACCATTCTGGGCCCAACCACAGTAAGAATGCCTTCTTGGAGCCAGTGAGCTCCGGAGCCCTTGTGCTCCCTCCCATTCAGCCTGGGATTGCTTCCTCCTAAGCCAGCGGTTCTCAACCTGGGGGTTGAACAACCCTTTCACAGGGGTCACCTGATTCATAACAATAGCAAAATGACAGTGCTGAAGTAGCAACGAAAATAATGTTATGGTTGGGGACTCCCTACCACATGAGGAACTGTATTCAAGGGTCGCGGCATTAGGAAGGTTGAGAGCCACTGTCCTAAGCTCTTTGTCACCAGAGAGAGCGATGAAGCACAAGACCAAGCTGGCGAAGACGAGGATAGAGGAGGAGCTAACATCTGGCCCTGCTCGCAGCAGCAGCTTCGGAGGAGAAACTCTGAGAAGCCGGCTAACAAAGCAACCTTCAAGTGCTGCACTTTCAACCACGAAAGAGTCATAGCAACTCTGTGTTCTTCAGTGAAGAAATTGCAAACATCCAAACGCGTGTCCATCGGGGCAGATCAGGTGGTTTCTTTTACGTCCAGCCCAGTAGCTCATTGATCCACGGTGATGAAAAGATGGGGCTCTACACACAAGCTGTGAGGTGAGCCCATTTGGTGAATCTGCATACCAAGCAATGCCGTACACATATCCCCGAATCTCAGGGTGTGGCCCAGGATGAAATAAGGCAGAATTATTGGAATTTACTCTTTGGGGGAGTTCTAGTTCAGAATCGTATGCCTTTAGTAACGAATGCACATTACTTCATGAAAAGGAAAAATAACAATGAAAAATTGGGGGGGATTTGCTTTTCTTTTAATTAATCATTTTATTGGGAGCTCTTACAGATAGTATAACAATCCATACTTCAGTTAGATCAGGGATAATTTTGCGATTGCTACACCATCAGTTTCAAGACATTTTGCTTTTCTTCGGGGGCCCAGAGAAGTACAGAGCAAAGGCAGAACTGTGGTCTCAGTCAAGAGGTGTGTCCTGCCTACTCAGAAATTGTTTCCCCCGCTCACTCTCATTGCCTTGTCTTTGAAGAAAGTTCTTTTATTGGACGACACTTTGATGTTATCCTCTTGGCTTCTTGGAGGACCATAATGTGAACCAGCTGCACAACTGTCACCGTATCTATCGAAGGAGATCTTGTTGAGGGTGTTGCCACCCAGCCCATCCCAGTTGCTTACTTAGGAGAATTCCAGTGGGCGGCTTTACCTAAATGACACCGTGATTCCTAGAAGTGACCTTGTGTATCTCTTTGCTTTGGCTGCTGGGAAGCTCTGAAAGTGTCACCTACTAGCAGCGGTTGAGGCCCAGAGGTATCAGCTTGAGTGTGCCATTCGAATGACTAACTTCAGCCTGAGTTTTTCCTTTTTAGCTTCATGTACATTTATTTTTAGTCATTCTATTGGAGGCTCTTATAACATTCCATTCACCAATTGTATCAGGCATATGTGTACATATGTTGCCACCATCATGTTCTAAACATTTACTTTCTATTTGCGCCCTTGGTATCAGCTCCTCTTTTTTCCCTCCCTCCCACCCTTGTGACCCCTTGGTAAATTATAAATTATTATTGTTTTCATATCTTAGGTCACTGTCTCCCTTTACCCACATTTCTGTTGTTCATCTCCGGGGGGTGGGGGGTGGGGATTATACGGACATCCTTGCGATCGGTTCCCCTCACCTCCTCTCCCCCCCTCCTTCCCCCTATCCCCCATTTCTGCGCTTGAGGGGTTTATCTGACCTGGAAGTTTTTCCTCTTTAGTGCTTTTGTAGCTTACATATCTTTGCCTCAGGTAAATGCATCTCCACAGTCAGTGATGGCCGAGTATCCTTTTAGCAAGAGGCACTTTCCCGCTCCACAGCCCTTGCAAAGGTTCGTATGAGTGAAATCTCCTGTTTCCTACAGATGCTGAAAGGTAGCCTCAGCCTTCTCCTTTCTCACAGGCTGGGGTCGTGCGGGGCCTTTCACCTCGTTAGAGGGATCAAGCGTTGAAAATTCTGAGCATGAGATGCATTTTAATGCATGTACTTGGGCATTTGCTTTACATTTTCCAGCTACTTAGTGATCCATGCAATATTCTCTCAATATCTTTGCCTCTCATTGCTTAGATGATCAACTGGTTGTTTAAGCATTGACCACGTGGGTCTCCCTTCAGCAATCCCATCTTCCTCTCTCCTCCAGTCAAATTGCTCCAGAGCCGTCTTCGCTCCTCTCTCCATTGCTTCACCTCCTGCTCACTCAACTCAGTCCATTGGCTTCTGGCTTCAGCATCTGTTGAAACCAATGGCCATCTGCCAGCCCCAGCACACCATTTCCAGACCTTTGGCTTCTCAGCAGCGTCTAACCCTGGGGAGCGTGCACCACCCTGACCCTTTGATGTTTACCCCATAATGCCGGCTGTCCCTCTTTTGTTGTGAACTGTCCTTCCTCCACTCATCACCGACATTACAAGGTACCTAACTCCTCTTCTGCTTTGTATCTGTTCCCTGGACTCGTCTATCTCTGCCCATGTGTTCAGTAAACACACCTCTCTCAAATGCCTACCTCCATTCCCGAGCCCTCTCTAATTCCAGATCTCTGAGTCAGACTAAGCACGCCTCTCCACAGCTCCC